GCCGTTCTCCAGTCCTCGTCGCCCCCCTCGCCGTCGCAGTCGAGGGCTCCGACGACGTCGACGACGAGCTCCGTCGAGGTAAATTCTCTTCAGTCTGGTCTATCCAATGAATTCTGTTCACTGGGTAGTCAATGTTCAAAATGAGAAGAATTCTTGGATCAATTAATACACTAATTTTTCCTCTTGATTGGATTAAAAAAAAGGGCAGTTTCTTAATTATACACCAGCTATACAGTGAACAAGAGTAACTGGATAGTTTCTCAACTGAAAGGCCAATTCATTTGTAAATTGTCTTTCATTTACAAATCTACATACATTCAGTTAAGAGTGGACTCGGAGTTCAGAGTCTTCACTTCCTATAACTAGAGCATGATTCAATATTGGGCCTAACTATTACTCAAACTTACTAATCTTACCTAGCAACACTAATTTCTCACCTATTTAAGAATAAAAGAAAAAATTGGAGGAGAGAGAAACAAGTCTAACAAAAGATGGTTACCTCTAATACCAACTAGAAATACTCATATATATATGACATTTATCTACTAGCATAAACTTCTTAAGTAATTTACACTTCTCATCAGTGCACAACAATACTCATTAGCTCAGTTCTAAAACCTGCACAAAACCACAACAGGCTCATTAATACATCCCACATCCATTTTCTATAGACAAACCAAACAAACCCTCACTGCCTCCAACAAAACTATCATCAAACAACCAATTCTCAAGTATTGCCAAGGGCACTTGATCTCCCAAGCTTGGCTTGCTCTCGGTCTCTGACACCTCCGACACAAGCGACTCAGTCGACTCTGAATTGGCCAAACCAACACTGCTAGGTTTCACTGAGCCCATCCATCCTTCTAGAAGCTTCGATATGTTCTCGGTGCTCGAAGCGTAGGTCGAAGAAGAAGAAGAAGAAGGAATTGTGATTGAGTTGTTGGTGGGCTTGGTGTTGTCTAGTGATAATGCTTGTTGAAGAGCTTGTTTGGCTAAGTTTATATCAGTCTGCAGTCTTCTCTCCCATTGCCCTTTTGATTTGTTGGCGTTGTTTGCTTCATGTTTTTGGAGCTTTTTCTTGAGATGGGTGTTCCAGTAATTCTTGATGTCATTGTCTGTTCTCTCTGGGAGGTAAGTAGCAATTGCTGCCCACCTGCATACATGATCAGATTAAGATCAGTGTAAATAAATCGAGATTTGAATCTGGATTGCTCTGATAGCGTTTATGTGAATTGGGGAATATCAGAATTTGAAGTTGATGCAACCCCAAATTTGACGGCAAACATTAACACCAAATTCGATAAATATGCAATGATGGTGATTGCATTGTTTATCACCTAATTGGGGTTTATTTAAAAGGATTTATTTATTTTTTTGTATAACTGAAAATGACTAGACAACCCTTCAATATATACTAATAACTAATGATTGAAAAGGTTGTCTTCCTATTGAACCTTCAAATTGAGGACTTTGATGATACCAAAACTGAAAATAAAATGAAAATTTCGGTGTTCTTAATGAGCTTACCTGTTGCCCAAGAGAGCTTGGAGGTGTATTATGAGCTTCTCCTCTTGATCAGTGAAGTTTCCTCTCTTGATCCCTGGCCTTAGGTAGTTTGTCCATCTCAGTCTACAGCTCTTGCTACATCTCAACAACCCTACATATAAAAGAAATTCAAATAAAATAAATAAATAAATAAATAATCAGTTTTCTGTGAGAAAAAAAAAACAAATGGTTCACTAGAGCCAAAAACAGAGCACCCTGAGACTTCATTCCACCAAAATCTAAATACCCTTTTCTCTCTGGATCATTTTGGACCACAACAATACTACAAGAAGAAACGGAACCAATCTGAGAAAAGCCCAAATGACCCTTTTGGATCCTTGTTCAAAATTAAGCGGAAATTAATCAATTAAAAGCCAAAACTAAGTATCATGAAAACAAATAAATTAGTTGGAGCCAAAAAGAGAGCACCATCAGATTTCATTCGACCAAAATCTAAACACCCTTTTCCATGCAAAAAACAACAAATCTAAGAAAAGCCCAAATGGGTATTCTGTATTAATGTTAAATTTTTTTTTTTCAAAATCAATCAAATAAAAAAATATCAAAAAATTGAGGAAAATCAGCTCGCTAACCAGTCTTAATTGGTACAGATTTCCAATTGCCTGGACCATGCTCTTGTATATATGAGACTAAAGTTATGTCCTCCTCTGGAGTCCATGGACCTTTCTTCACTCCAATTTTATCACAGCAAGGCGGCCTCCCCATTGAGAATTTTGAGTTTGAAACAGAGAAGTAACTCTACAAATAAATATATTAAGCAAATTGGACTTTTTTCAAGTTTTCCTCAGTAGTAGTAGAGACAAGCGTCCAAGGCTCCGGATTCTGCTGAGATTTATAGGCAAAGAGAGCCACTGACTACGAGCCAACTGAAAGTAGAGTCAACATGAAGACAGCAAGGAGCATTTAGTGATGAAAAAAAGTCAGCTCTCTGTTCTCTCTCTCTCTCTCTCTCTTGTTTCTCTCTCTAAAAGCGCGTGTATTGAATGTGTATGCACCGGGAAATAGGAAAGCCCGTGGCTTAAGCTATCCTCTGCTCTCCTCAAAAGTTTTTGAATGATTCAAACACTTTATTAAGTTTGTGGTGTTTACTATAAAACTCTTTTTTTTTATTTTTGATATGATCATGAGTAATAACTAACAACTGTTGGGTTTCCAAAGAGTTGAATTTTTAATTTTTCGGATCGAATTCCCTAGTGCGAATTGTTTGCTTCTCACAATGGCATATCATTTATTAAATAATAAATCATAATATTATGATAAAGTGTTTAGTATAATCAAATACAATTAGTCATAAACATCTAAATATTAGTAAGGATATTTGCATACAAAACCCTTACATCATGAATATTTGACAAAAAATTAATCAACTTTGAGAAAAAAATTCTAAAATTAACAAATCATCAACTTCAAGGATAATTAATTACTTTGAGGATAATTTTTGCCAAAATCAATCATTTGAAGGATAATTTTGCAAATGTTAAGATTTAAAAGGTATTTTCGTATATAACCATGATGTAAAGGGTACATATGCAAATAACCCTATTAATAAATATCTGCAGTTGAAAGGAGACCCTCCACGTGCACATGGTGGCCAAGGATTTGTTTAGGGGGTGTTTGTTTCAACTTTTTTTTTGATATAGGGTGGATTGCAAATTCTAGGATGAAAAGTGGATTTTTTTAGTTTATGGATTTCATAACATTTGTTTGATTCAAAATAAATTTTGGGATATTGAATACCCAAATAATAAAAAACTAATATATTATAGAATTTGTGAAATCCCCTATTTGAGAGAGGATTTAGACTAGATTTCAATTTATAAATATTTATAGTGCTACAATTTAAGTTTGAAACAAACAAAATACAAATTATACGATTACATATCCCAAAATATTGATGAAACAAATAATATTTTAGAAATCTCAACCTATGTTAAAAAACTTATGGATTTCAAATCTCATGGTGAAAGCCATATCCTAAAATTATAGGATTTGAAACGAACACCCCTTTAGTAGAGTAGTTAGGACTTTGGGAGTGACGACGCCTTCCATGATGTTTTTGACTCTTTTTTCTTGGGGTTTATGTTTGTAATAAATTCTTTTTTGACGCAAACGTAGAAACGGGGAGGCCGATCGGATATCGTTCCGATACCGACGAGCCCTGACAACAGCATGTATTTCACGAGCTTGAATCCACAAGCTCTAAGTTTCTCAAAGTTGAGAACAAAACAAAGAGAAAATTCTCTTAATTGAATAATTGAAAAGTTAATTTACAATTTACGAAAGGAACTAATACTTATAACCAACTAAATATATCCTAACTCTAATAAAAAAAGAAACTCTAAGTCTAATTAAAAGGAAATAACCAAATCCAAAAAAGAAATAACAAAAAGGAATTCTTTCCTAATCTGAAGTCTGAGTCGACACGAGGCGTCTCGACTAGCACCGCCTTTCGTGTCGACTGGACCTAAGTCGACTAAGCATGTCGAGTCATTCCGCCTTTCGTGTCGACTAGAATGTGTCGACTCGTCCTGTCGCCTGTCGTCTCATCCTGTCGCTTCGAGTCGTCTGCTCGTCTCGGTTGGGTTGGGTCGACTCGTCCTGTCGTCATCTCGACTCGTCTGTACTGTTTTCGTCTCGTCTGGTTTAAGTTGAGTCTCGTCTCGTCCATCTGTTCAGTCGACTCGACTACTTTTTTTCTCGGTCCGTCCAATACTTGATCTCATGCATCATTACTTATAGAAGATAGAGTAAATGCCAAAGTGGCAATATATATAAGGTAGAAAAATCAAATCAAATTTTTTTAGGAAAAAGATTTAGACAAAAATATTGACACTACAACCTTTTTTTATTTTTTTTGATGTAAAAGATTTATTTTTCGTAGCTGTCATTAGCTTCCTTCAAAAGTTCAAAATATACTAAATAAAGACTGATGTTCAATTTTTCATGTTTATTAAGAGAAGTAATCAAGTCATTTTCAATTAGTCATAGCAAAAAGAAATGGATAATATATAAATGTACTAAATGTATCAAGGGTAAGAAACTCCTAGTCACTCTTAAATGGTGCAAAGACTTTTCTTCAAGTTGATCAATTTGCTGGCGGCTTGGATAAATCAAATTAAATAGAGAGAAGAAAAAAGAGTAGACGTGTCGGCATTCATGCAGTACTATTATTTTGACATTGAGAGTATACATATACTTGCATGGGGCCATATTAATGTAACATTAGAGGAGACTGAGTCACATGCATGTTTTATACTAACCCACAGTAGTTTTTGGATAATGAAACTCTAAGATAGGGATTGATATGTACATGTGTCCGAGCGAGACCGTTTCTTGTATGGAAGTTTGAGAGTTGCTTGTGATCTTGTCACTTGGACTTTGATGAGTCTGAATGCCATTAGAGATATATATAGCTGAAAGAGATTCAACATATATCTTGAGCTTCACTAAGTAAAGAAACCTAAAATTTTTGACCTTAAAAAACTTTAAAACTCAATAATGAACATGTTTGATGTGATGGTGATGAAATAGACTTATGTAAGTTGTTTATTGAATGAAAGGTTTAGGATAAAGGATTAGGTGTAATTTAGTTTTTTGGCACTATAAAGTTAAATGATGAACTTTAGTCCATATAAAGTGGAAAATATATTAAATAGTCTTTATTTGAGGGTTGGATTTTGTTGCTAGCTGATTGGTGGATTTCATGAATATATTTCTGAAATTAATTAATAATCATCTTTCCAAATGTACAATCATTTACGTAATTCTGAATGATCATGATTCCTTTGAAGCATAAAAAAGAATAGTGATAATTATACACGGGAGTTATCTATTTTTGTAAAACTGCAAAGAGAAATTACGAAATGTTATCAACCCCACTTATTTGTGTCTATATATAATAGTATAAGAATAGTACAATTCTTGTAGTGTACTTAACACTTTCCTAAAAAACAGGCGACATAATTCAAGTTTCACCCTTGAACCATATATAATTATGGCTCTCGATATTGATAAATACTCACAAGGTAGGAAACGGATTCGGATCCTCTCCACTATAAAAAAAACAGTGGAGGAATCACTACATAATCACGGCCATTGATTATCTAGTTAATGGTTGTGATTTTTTCTTTTAGTGCAAATTAAGAATGAGTGCAATACACGGGGGTATGGTAAGTGTTAGATTTAGATTGTATCATAACAGCCTACTAAATAATCAACGATTAAGATTAAAAACAGTGGTCTCTCCACTACTTTTTTGTAGTGGAGAGGATCCAAATCCGTAGGAAACATAATGCTAAATTGCTAAAGATAAAACCAAAGTGGTACCAGCATTTTGTTGTGTCTGATATTGTGACAGACCACCAAAACTTGACTACATGCTATTTTATGGTTCCATTAATGGATTCCCCAAATAACCTCAATTATTAGTACATTGTTAAGTAGATAAAATTATGCACATGGTACGTATTAACAATGCATATATATATATACATATATTTGGATGTATCTTCATTAATTCAAGAACAAAACCAAGCCATTGAATAAAATTTAAATCAGAGTAGTATTGGATAAACGAATACCCCACTTTTCCTTTTGTGTTCTCTCTCATGTGAATAAGTTTGGTAGCGAAAAAACCAATGCACTTATGGCCTCTGCTAATTTCTCATGTGATGTGGCAAAACACAAGAGATTGGACGGTAGAGGAGAAGACCTCTTCTCCTCTTAGCCCATGACTCTTGTGGTTTTAGCTCATGGGGTCTTCTCATTCAATGCAAAGAGATGGAAAGCAAGTGTCAAGAGCTGGATCTATCAATTTTCATTTATGTGTGTTTAAGTGGCCCTATCCTTGTTCATGAGACATAGGGGACCATTAATTTGTAAATCTCATAGGGTTCATTGGCTTTGTGAAAATAGAAAGACTTGTTAGCTGTGACTCAGGATTGTAATTGGCCAATGTTGTGTATGTGATGTGCTACTTAAGAGCTAACGTAGATGGGCAAGGAGGGAGGGCTTTTGAGGCGGGGAGGATATAAATGGAACATGCATGTTATTTGAATTATGTCATTGGTTGATGGGTATGTCTCGTAGAGATCTCATGTTTAATTAGTTGCCATGTTGCTTTGCTTTTTCATGTATATACATTAGATTAATTATCTTGCACGTGCGCTTGTAGCTAGAAGGATGACAACTTGTAGGGTAAGAGTTATATCATGTCTTTATCTTATAGCATTTCCTAATGGATATTATAAGGATCCTATCCTATGGCTATAAGATACTAGTATTAAGCTTGCACGTTGCCGTGAGTATTATTTATCAAGATATATATGTCGCCAAATTGATATATGGTTTTTATATATAAGTATTTATAAAAACTTTAGCTATAAAATTTTTACTATTATTTGCAGAGTGAATTTTCAAAACGGTTAGCAAAGTAATGCACCAATTATCAAGTTTTATCATTTTCCTACAATAGAGGCAGAAAAGATTAATATTTGTGAAATTAATTTCTAGTAAAGGTTAAATTCATCATTTGCAAGAAAGGAAAAAAAAAAGATATGAACACTGTGTTCACGATTAAAAAATATTACTTCAGCTTGAATAGTTGATAAATTGTAAAAAAATTAATTGTAGCATATAGAGCAGTTTAAGATTGAAAATCACACTGTTCATGAATAGTGTTTATTGGAAAAAAATTTCATTACAATCTGAATAGTATGGCTAAGGTTGAAAATTTTACCATAGGAAGAACATAAATTTTAATATTCTGAATCATACTGTAGCGAGAAAAGTGTTTAATGGAGAAAA